GAGGAAGAGAGAAAGAGAGAGAAACATCAATGATGAGAGAGAATCATTGATCGGCTGCCTCCTGCGTGCCACACACTGGGGATTGAGCCCGAAACCCTGGCATGTGTACTGACTGGGAATCAAACCATGACCTCCTGGTTCATGGGTCGACGCTGAACCACAAGGAGCATTCTTGTCACAGGATTGAAGATCCCGTCGGGAACAGTCTATAGGGGATGGAGGCAATAGGACACAATGGAAAAGCCTCCAGGATGCCAGGAGCTCTGAGTAGGAACAATGAAAGCATACACTGACATCTAATTGGATGAGCTGGTACGGAAACAACTGGTGGCTGTGAGCGTCTTCTCCTTGAAAGGAGAGATGAACTTGGATGCCTAAGTTCATAAGATCCTTTCACAGGAGATTGCACTCCATCATCCCATGGGGCTAGGGGATACAGGAAAGAGCTGGCAAGGCCTGAGACCAAAGCTGCTGACTGTGGCTGGGGTGGGGGAGTCCCCAGCTGGGAAGAGGAGAGGAGTCTGAGGGTTTCAGGAAGACCAGGACCTGTGCAGGACCTCAGAGGACGAGCCAAGTGGTGCCCATAGGCATCAGTGTCCAGGGCCCAGTTCACAAGGTCCCACATTGGCAAGGCCCACTTCAGACTGTCTTGGTATTAAAGGCGCTACTGTCAGAATTTACTGGGTGGATGTCAGGGACTGAGGCCATGACCCAGATGTAAAAGGCAGGCTGAAGACCAGAGAACCCTCCAACACCTCCCCACTGGGAAAGGCTCCAAGACTCTTGCTTATCTCTGAGGAAGTGAAGGCTCCACCCAGACAACACTCAGGTGAAGACTTGGAACCCAATCACCTGGCTCAGCGGTAAAGGACTGGGTTGGAACAGTAGTGTGTGGGCTGCCAGAACAAAGTTCTGTAAACGGAGTGGCTTCAGTAACAAACCTATTATCTCACAGTGCTGGAGGCTGGAAGTCTGACCAAGGCGAGGGCAGGACCACGCTCCCTCTGAAGGAGCTGGGAAGGGTCTGTTCCGGCCTCTCTCCCAGGTCCTGGTAGTTCTTGGCTTGGGGCAGCATAACTGTAGTCTTCACATGGCGGCTTTCTCCCCGAGCGCGTGTCTGCTTCCCAAATATCCTTTTTGTAAGGACACCAGTCCCATTGGAAGAGGAGCCACCCTACCCCAGGATGACCTCATCTTAACATTTGTAACTGTGCTATTTCCAAATAAGGTCACACTCAGAGGTACTGGAGATTAGGATTTTAACCTATGAATTTTGGGGGAACACACTTTGACCCATCATGGAGAGGACTCACATCCTGAGACTTGGGCACTGGTCACACACGCTGCTTACACACAGCTGATTCCCACACCGGCTTCTTTTACCCTCTCAACACCGTGCGAGACACTCAGGGGCCTGCCCCGGCCTGTGCACATGGCCTGCGCACATCGGTGGAACAGGCCTGCAGCGGTTAAATGGCTGTGGCATTCACCTCTATCATTCACCAATGATGCTCTGTGGGCATCTGCTTCCCGGCTGTGACCACAGCAGGTTAAGCCTCCCTGAACCTCTGTCGTGGGTCTGAGATGGGTTGGTGAGGGCTGAGCACAGGCTACTGGCATAAAGCAAAGTGGGTGTTGCCCCTCCCCGCTTGTGCAGCTCTGAATGTGGAGAGATCTTCCTTTGGGTTGAGCTGAGACCCAGATGACGACAGAGGTTGGAGAAGGTAAATTACACGTCCAGGGTCTCAGGGTTAAGCTCTCCCCCATCTTTGGAGCATCATCCTGGCCAGCACCCTCCCCCTCCTCCTTCTAGGAGTTAGTTCCTCTCCTGGGCCTGGCCAGTTCCATCTCCCCCTGCCCACCAGCTCCTTCTCCCCTCACCCCTCTCCATCCTCTTAGTTTTTCTTAAGGTTCAGGGATGGCCTTACTGCGCATGGCCTCGTGCTAGGTGCCCAGTTTCAGAGAGACCTCAGAGGGTCAAACTGGGATCCAGTAGTTTCTGCCAAAGACCTCTGCCCTTGGAAAAGGAGGTGTGACCCCGGGGAGTGGGAGACCAGGGAGAGGAGCTATGGAAGCAGCCACAGGATCTTAGAGCCCTTGGGACTTTGGAAACTCCTCTTCCAGGCCTGCGGGCTACAGGTGGGGGACGGAGGCCCTGGGCGGGAGGTAAAGTGCCAAGGTCAAATGTTGGGCGGTGCCTGCGGGCGGAAGCCAGGCATCAGGGGCTATGTTGGAAGTGGCGTGTGCTTCCCGGTGCTGTGAACTCAGTTCCTAAGATTGCAGGGGCTTAAGTCTGCGGAGGGGTCGTCCCCGGGGGCTCTTGAGGGGAGGGGAGGCTAAAAGCCAGGTGGGGGGAGGGCATGTGGTGATCGTGGGACTAGAGGGCCGTGCCCCCACCCCCAGCGATGAGTGGGACGCCCGGGGAAGGGGCTGGCGGGCTG